GACAGCTCTGTTCTAGGACCTCGGAGTCCAGGTATTAAGACGACCTTGGAGTGCTTTTATGCTCTTGGAGTCCTGGGCCACATGTAAGAAGTCCAGGCCAGCCTGCTCGAAAAAGAGGCCACATGGAGAGGCCCTGGGAGAGGACAAAGCACTTGGAGGAAGAAATCGCATGGGGGAACACTGAGGTCACAGTATGGGAGTGAATAAGCCATGCTGGATCATGTGAGGCATCCCACCTGAAGCCCCAAACATCAGGGAGCAGGGACCAGTTATCCCAGCTGTGCCCTGTCCAGATTCCTGAGCCACAGAATGGGAAAAATAAACTGGCTGCTTCAATCCACCAAGTTTTGAAGTTGTTTTGATATAGCAGTAGATAACAGCACTGGATAGATCATTGTTAGGGTGAAGAGAACAGCATATGAAATAGGCTACCATGTCTGTTTTACACACACACACACACACACACACACACACACACACACACACACACACACACACGAGTAGTGGTTATCATTGGGAGACAGAATCATGGGTAGCTTTAAATTGCATCGTTTTGTTTTTCATTTTTTTTTCCAACGTTTATTTATTTTTGGGACAGAGAGAGACAGAGCATGAACGGGGGAGGGGCAGAGAGAGAGGGAGACACAGAATCGGAAACAGGCTCCAGGCTCTGAGCCATCAGCCCAGAGCCTGACGCGGGGCTCGAACTCACGGACCGCGAGATCATGACCGGGCTGAAGTCGGACGCTTAACCGACTGCGCCACCCAGGTGCCCCATTGTTTTTCATTTTTATGCTTGTTCTTATTTCATAACAAAAATAGTCTTATCACATTGTTTTTTTACAAGCACTTTACACTATTGACTCACATTACTCTTACTATAGATATGTTTCAACTATGTATGTGTGTGCCTGTGTACATATAAAATAAATATATACATATTCAAGGGCAGTTGTAACCTGGCTTCACCCCCAGAAGAAGGCCACCAGGGAAGGTACAGGGTTTACGTTGTATAAACAGAATATACCAGGAGCCTCTTCTCCTGAAATCCTTGGCCTCTCGTACCTGGTAACCCTACTGGGGAAAGTTCTGAATTCTCAGGCTATGCACTTCAGATATTCCACCACTGCAAAGCTCCTGTTTATGTAGTTATGGAAGAGCAGTTGCTATGGCGATGTGATCTGACTGAACACCAGCATGTATCTAAAATTGGTAGAAGTGCCTTTTTCAGGGTTTCCTCTGAGGATTAATCATTTTCCAAGAACTGTGGCTTTTTTCCCCTCTCCTGTTAGAACAACAGTGCCAGAGCACCTTGTCCGGTCCTGGCACAGGAACAAAAGGAGGAAGGGTCAAAGAAGGACAAAGCGATGGTTGGGAAAAAAAGACCCAAACCACCACAAAGGAACCCTTTCCTACTAAACACTCTGGTTTCTTTTTACCCCCTGCCTCCCCTATTGCTTTGCCACATGTGGACTCCTCTGTCCCTCAACTCCCTCCACCCACTACTCTTTTCATCTAGTCATCTTTCCAGTTCTTCTGCCTTCTTCTGACTCCTTTCCCTTCTCTGACCCCTGGTTGTAGGCAGACCCATGGCCCTGTTTCCCACCTTCTCACCTCTCTCCTCATGTTCTTGCTCTCTGAAGTGCCTTCACTCCTGTTGCTGCCTCCACACCATGACTCCAAGTCAGAGCCATAGCCCAGCCCTCCTTCCCACTCGCTTCCCACTACCTCCCCTCCCAGGCCCACGGGACACTGCACTTGGAAAGCAGTGTCGTCCATGATGGGGTCTTATTGACCATTCCAGTTCTTGCCCCAAATCCTCTCTCACCACCACCACCACCACCATGTGCTCTAGGTTCCCACTGTGGGAACTTGCTTGCAGTTCTCTGAAGCTCCCATGATGACTCTCTCTCCTCCCTCTTTCCCAAGCCACTACCCCTGCCTGCAATGCCCTCCCCTTCCTCTCTCCTGCTAGTGTTTCTGGTGTTGGGAAACAGCACCTGCATCGGGAAGCCTCCCACCAGGCTAGGCTAGGTCTACTCCTCTGTGCTCCCCCCTGCTTAGCACCTGTCATACTGATTATCATTGTTTCAGGCCTACCTATCTTTCCCTCCTAGGCTGGGAGCTCTTTGAGGGCCGGGATTGTGTCTCACTCATTTGCTGGTTCCCTGCAGCCTAGCATGTATGAATACAAAAGTGGATGCGTCATCACCATCCCCAAATCACACTCCCCAACTGTCCCCACTAGCCTTGAATATGAATTCTGGTATTTTCCACAGATTCACAGTCTTCAGGGGTATCTTTTCTGGCTTCCTTTCATTCTGTAAATTTTGGTGATACCTTCTACCACAGTTTTCTACAGATCAGCATTTGTTCGTTGCCACATTCACTATCCGAGCCCCACTCCTCAGCTCAGACAAGATTTCCTCCAGAGGACCCTCTCCTATCTCCCTGATCTGGCAGATTCTATATTCAGGCTACCCCTCACACAGGCACCAGATTCATGCTCTAAATGTTGCCACCTTGGATCAAAACCCACACTCTGACCCAAGGCCTCCTGCTATCCCCATCCTTCCTATGGCCTCCTCCCCACCTTCCTCTCCTTCTTTCCATGTGGTCCAGAAGTTCTCCTTACCACCCACACACACTTTCTCTCTTTGTGCCTCTCCCCTTCTGTTTCCATTGTTTCTACATCCTCCCTCACCATCTACTACTCACATTTTATTTTTTTAATGTTTATTTATTTTTGAGACAGAGAGAGACGGAGCATGAACAGGGGAGGGCCAGAGAGAGAGGGAGACACAGAATCCGAGGCAGGCTCCAGGCTCTGAGCTGTCAGCACAGAGCCTGATGTGGGGCTTGAACTCACGGATGGTGAGATCATGACCTGAGCCGAAGTCGGATGCACAACCGACTGAGCCACCCAGGTGCCCCAACTACTCACATTTTAAAACTTCTGTCCTCCACAGAGTCCACCCAGCTAAATCCTCTGTGTGGGTTAAATTGTATCCCCCCCCCCCAGATTCATATGTTGAAGTCTTGACCCCCAGCACCTCAAAATGTGACCTTATCTGAAAATAACTACAGATGTAGTTAGTTAAAATGAAGTCATACTGGAATGGGGCAGGTCCAATCCAAGATGACTATGTCCATAAAAAAAGGAAATTTGGATATGGAGACACACACACAGGGAGAACATCATGGAAAGACAGAGAGAAGACAGCTTTCTGCAAGCCAAGGAAAGAAGCCTAGAACACATTCTTCCCTCATAGCCCTCGGGAGGAATCAACCCTGCTGATATCTTGATTTTGCACTTGCAGCCTCCAGAACCATTAGGCACTTTCTATTGTCCTAAGCCACCCAGATTGTGGTACTCTGTCACAGTAGCCCAGCAAACTAATACGCTCCCCATACCAATTTCCCCTAGCTTTAAATTCCCTTTTCATTTATACACTCAGTTCAGCCAGCTCTGCACCAGAGGTATTTGCCTGCTGCCCTAAACCTGCTCTCTGTTTGTGTTATGAGCACATTTCTGATTCTCTAACAAGACTCTGATTCCTCAAAAGCAAGCCTTTTCTTTGCGCTTCTTTTTCATTCCTGACAGGGCTGGTACTTTGCTGACCTACAGAACATGATGAATTAAATGGAATGTACTCTGGAAGGTGATTCCCTGCTCCTTGTCAATACATTACAGAGTTTCTCTAAATCCACCAAGGTCAGACAAGAGGCCAGCAGGGCCTCCAGGGAGCCAGGTGGGAGACTGACCAGCAGGCCTACGGGGCCCCTGTTGGCCGTGGGGAACACATAGAGTCATGGGTGTTAGGCGTAGGAGGAACAACAGGAAGAGATCGTCTAGTCCAACCCTCTGATTTTAACAAAGAAGATACAGGCTCTGGGGGTTAAGGAAGGTCACATCAGAGAGAGCAAGAGACAGAGCTGGCACTTGAGCCCAACTTGTAGACTCCCAGACCAGTGCTGTGGGCCAGGGCTGCTTGCCCTGTGGGGGGGGGGGGGGGGGGGGCAGGCTGCCAAAGGACATACAAGGGCTACCCGGGAAAACCCTGTAGGGCAGGTCAACCTGCCATTGGCCTAGTGATTTACAAAAGCAGCCAATACAATTAATAAATGTGAAGGGAGAGGTGACTGGAACAAAGGGGCAGGGCAGGTAGCACAGCCGAGAGTTCTGCAAAGCAAAGGGTCCTGTACAAAGCTGGTGCCACTGCATAATCACCACGGCAGCCATGTGTGTACAGAGCACAGTGGTCAGTTGATGCTCCAGCCTCGGCAAATCCCTGTCATGTCAGGATTAGGAGTGGCCTTTGGAGGGCACAGCCCACACGTGAGCATGAGTCTCACTACCAATGTATCTTGATGCATTCCAATTGTTCCTGGGTGTAACTAATGAGAAACCAAGAACCCCAGTTAGTTGCAAGGCTAGGCTTATGCAGAACAAAGTCAGGAAAGAGACACACGTTGGAATTCTGCATCTTACTGGAAAAAGGCATTGGGTCCAAACACAAGAGCACGTTAGGGCCAGTGATCAAGTAACACTGCAACCATACAGCCTGCGGCCTTTCAAAAATTATGCTACAACCAGGTTTTAATCACTTGAGAAAATACAGTATCATGTTAAGCAGAAAATGTAGGGTAAAAAAAAAAAGTTACTGTACACTCAGGAACTCAACCACGTAAAGCAATATGCACAGGAGGGGATTGTTCCAAAATGTTCATAGAGTTTGGCTGTGATTTTTAACCTACTCTTTATTTTTTCCCCTGTATATTCCAAATTTCTATGGCGAGTGTGTATCATTTATATAGAGTGTAAAGATAATTGTTTTTATGTTTAAAGACACCGATCCTGTGTTTATAAGGAAATATAATCTGTCAGGCCCACTCTCATTCTCTGTGGCTTTGCAATGATTACACCACTCTGCCCTCCAGAAATGGTCTCCCCAACCAAGAGGAAATCCTGCCCCAGGTGGGTCCATCCATTTACTCACATTCTGAGTATTTCTGGAGTTGGTCAAATTCTTCTGGAGTAAGGGAGACCCACCGTTCTTCACTCATCTTTAACCTGGGTGTGAGTGCTTGAGGCCAGGGATGGAGTTTTGTTCACCAGGGTGAAGCTGAGGCCCAGCCCAGGGCCTGGTTCACTGCAGGTACACGGTGGACAGGCCCTTCAGGAACCACGGAGGATGCACGTGCCTATGGCAGTAGTGGGCACGTTGGAGCAGATGAGAGAAGGCCTGTGCTACTCTTCCAACAGCATGCTTCTATCCGTAGTCAAGGTCTTCAGAAATCCTTGCTCCTCCTGGGCAGAAGTAGAAAAGACATCGTGAATGGGAGGGAATACGTAAGTTGCCCTTTCTTATAAAAGAAATCCCCAGTTGTTCTCTGGGGAAAGACCTATGAGAGGCAGTGGTTCCCACGGTGGGGTGGGGGTGGATGTCTCCTCAGGGAAGTCTGAAGAGGGCTTACAGACCAGACCAGCATAACTCCAGTTGGGTGGTCTGTGTGGACAGGTGGCCATACCCTCAACTCAGGAAATTTTAAATGTCTCCCAAGAGAGGCAATAGTAGGACCCCCTGAGGGCATCCTCAAGGCATGAAAACGCCTCAGGCTGTCAGATGCCTCATGAGCAAGTAGGGACAGTACATACGTGCATGATTTGAAAGGTAACTAGTCTCTCCACCATTACTGTGGACATTCAAATATCCCCACGGCTGGCTAACATTCTAGTAACTAAAGTGGTTTTCTTTCCTCTCAGAACCATACAAAAGTGAATAGAGAGAAGACCTGCCACTAGCCCCTGTGCAGGGGAGCCTGAAGGAGGGAAAAGGGATGGGTTCAGACAGACACTTAGCATGTTTTCCTTTGGGCCCCTCCTAGCACGGTTGCTCTGGCAGTCATAACACCAGCCTCTAAGTCAGTTCAGCAGGTTGTGAAATTAATGCGATGGGCGAAGGCCAGCATTTAAAAACACAAAATAGAATAGGATACAGTAGAATGGCATGAAATGGAGCTGAAAACAGGAGTGTCTCCTTTCAGTTATACGTACACGTATATTGAGGTTTAAAAAATGTTGGAAAGCCACCAACCTAATAGGAGGAGAAATACAGATTGATGCTACCAAAGAAGAAGCTCAGTTTTTTTTTTTTAAATTTTTTTTTTCCAACGTTTATTTATTTTTGGGACAGAGAGAGACAAAGCATGAACGGGCGAGGGGCAGAGAGAGAGGGAGACACAGAATCGGAAACAGGCTCCAGGCTCTGAGCCATCAGCCCAGAGCCCGACGCGGGGCTCGAACTCACATACTGCAAGATCGTGACCTGGCTGAAGTCGGACGCTCAACCGACTGCGCCACCCAGGCGCCCCAAGAAGCTCAGTTTTAATAAAACTGGATCCATGGTGAAGGACTGGACATTGAGGCAAGTCTGGAAGCCTGGAGCCTCTAAGGGATGGTGGAGGGTCTGGATGAGACGACCCAGTGAGGAGGTGGGTTTGTGCACCTCTCTGGAGAAACCTATAGACTGGGTTGGTGTGGACTGGAGAGCTAGCCAGGAACTAAGGGAAGACACCGGAAGGAGATTGTGGCTCTGGAAGGATGACCTTCCACCAATCAGAGCTCTCCGCCAGTAGGTCGGCAGGCATGGCAAGGAAGTAAGATGCCTGCATCCCCAGGAGCATCCAAGTTCTAGCTTCTCTCCTTAAAACATCCAATTCTCTCCTTAATTAATCCACTGCTCAACTAGATTCTGCTCCTTGGCACCTGCTCTTGCTAGGGTCCCTAGTAACACAACTGTTAAATCCACCAGTCATTTTTCAGGCCTTCCTTGCTTCATCCGCTTCTCTTTGCAGCCTTCGCCATGGCAGGAAACAGCCCTCTGGAAACAATCTTATCTTTCTGAGTCTTCCTCCTCAGTCTCCTTCCACTTCTCTTGCCGTTGTTAAATACTGGCATTTCCAAAATCCCAACCTCAGCCCTCTCCTTGTTCTGTACCCCTTCCAGGAGGTACCCATTGCCGTGGCTTCAGTGACCACAGGCATGCTGCTCCAGCCCTACACTCTCCCCGCAATCCAGATCTGAATATCCAACTGTCCACTGTGACTCCCTCATGTGTCCCAAACCACCCCAAATCAGCACCTTCCCATGCCCCCAGCTTGCCCTTCCTCTATATTCTGGTCATGCCCTGAGAGGAGCCAGAACACAGGCCAGAAACCTGGGGCTCAGCCTAAGCTTCTTCCCCATCCTCTCCTGCCAAACCCAGGTGCCGCGCTCAAGTGTGACCGTCCATTGTGTGTCCCCTCCCCTCTGTCAGGCCAGCTTCATTAACTCAGACCCTCATTTTCTCTTGCCCAGTCTCTACCAACAGCCTCCTGATGGACGCCGTGGTTTGGGTTTTACTCTCCTGCCCTTGGTACGCGCTAAATTGTCAACCAGATCACATCTCTCCCAGTAATAGAATTCTTCAGTGGCTTTCTATTGCCTATAGAATAAAACATGATCTTCTTTTTATGATACACAAAGCTTTTTATGATCTGCCCTCTGATTATCAGTTCAGTCCAAACATGAGGGGTGACCCTTAGAAACATTTTCCATAACACCAGGGAGTTCAGTGTTACAACTGGTGTTACTACTGCTGCAGTCGTCATTTAGTGGACGCTTCCTCCACACTATATGCTTTACATGTATTTGCCCATTTAGCCCTCCTAACAACCATGTAAATTAAGCATTGCCTTCCCTATTTTTAGAGGGGGAAAAATGAGACCAGGTGTTCAGTAATAAATATGGTGAGAAGAAAGAAGGAACCCCCAAGGCTTTTAAGAATGCCTCTCTGGCCGTACCATTCTGCACACTTCTAGAAGCACAGAGTTAGCTCTAAGAGGATCAAGAGACATGCTGCCCAATAGAACACTGTGGAACTCCAAGTCAGAAGGCAGGGCTTTGAATCTTGCTCCTCCTCCTATCAGCTATTTGACATTAGACAAATTTTGTGTTTCTTGACCCCTCGTTCCTTCACCTCAAAAATGGGGGTACTAATAAAAATCTCACTGAGCTAGTGTTAGGACTGAGTTGATATATGCAAAAACCAAACAAACAGAACATCCCAAAACCTCACCTAACACAATGCCTAACACACAGTGAACTCTCAATATTTGGTTAGCATTATCCTGTTGCAAATACAACACTTAGTAATATGATTTAAACAATCAGCTGATAGTAGTTGGGTACAAAGTCTTTGTGTTGTGCCATAGATTTCTGAGCTTGGCTTCTGATCTTCTCCTGCTTGAAGCTGTTGTAATTTTGTAACAACTCATCAAACTTTTACCCACTAGTTTGAGGATCCACTGATGATTCCTGCCTGAATTAATTATTATTATGATAGAAAACTTCTAATTCTATCATTCCTTCTATATTTATTAGTTTGGATTCTACTATAAAGAAGAGCTTTCTCTTCTCTATTTCTTCATACCAGTTTACTTATATATATTTATACTACAAACAATATAAATATATATAATATAAATATGTAAATATTTATATAAATAACTTTGAATGTATGTTATATCTACATATAATACAAACTTGTTTATATTAATGGATTCTTATTTTATTCAGAGGGTTATAATCCATTACAATCTTTATTTGTTTTGATTCAAATTGTCCCAGATTTGGCCAGTAGAGACTCATTCAAGTTGATTCCCTGTTCTTTAGACATAGTCCCATCATTCTTTGAGCACATCTTTATTTTCTGTTACTACAAAATGTTTCAGTCTCACCCTGTACTAACTGAGTTCTCGTCCTGAAATCAGTCTCCAAAGTACGTACTTCTCCAAAGTACGGATTCCTTTCAAAGGAGAATGGAATTTGAAGCCAAATTTTGGGCACTAAGTGTGCTCATTGCTACTGGGGTGTCTTTGCTTTTAGGCTTTATCAGGGCCAGGGCCAAGAAATATATGCAGGTATATATATATATATCTCATCTCAGGCCGGCCGGCTGGCTGGCAGGCCATCCATGTTAAAAAACCCAAGTTGATCCTCAGACCTCCAACTATAGTCCAATTTTACATTATCAACTGTAGCCTCCCTCTCATTCTGTATTTTTGAGCTCCCTTCTCCAACAAACTTTGTTTCCATTATCTACAATATATTTATTTGCTCACTCTAAAAATATACAGAAAATGGTTTCAGAATGTTAGCTACAACACTGTGAAAAACAAAAAAGAATTCAAGATTTCTTGACAGTTCTTTTCAGCCAACAAAGCACATCCTCAAAATACTATTTTCAAAAGTTACTTAGATTAGTTCTTACACACTCCTATTCATTTTTGTTTGTATTTCACTCTAAGGTTTTTTCGTCCATTCCCAATTGATTCTTTGTTTCCAAAGTCAGAATTATATAAAAGGTATCTTCAGAGAAGCCTTGCTTCCCCCATTTCTTTTACTGTATCCATCCCTCTCCTTTCCATCTTACTCCCACTCAACCCTTACAGTTTCTAGTTCATCCTTCCTGTTTATTTTTGCACCGGTGAGCAGATACGTGGATATTTTTTATTGCCCCTTCTTTAGTACACAAAAGGTAGCATATTAACAATTGTCTTTTGTACACTTTTTTTTTTTCACTTAACAATATATCCCATGAATCATCCCATATCTGGTCATAGAGATTTTCCTCATTTATAACCAAATTTGATCCCAACACTTCACTTGCCTGAAAACCTTTGGTGGCTTCTCTTGAGCCCTTTTGGGTAGGCTTTTCAGCCAGCTCCATAAAAACCTTTATCTGTGGTACAGCTCACCTCCTCATCACTCGAATTCTCTCCTGCCCCACATGCTCCATGTTCCTTCCAGCAAAATCATCCCGTGTCCTCCTAGCACCTAGCAAAGTACCCGGCACGTGGCAGCATCTCATAAACATTAGTTAATGGACTGACAAACACACCATGCCTTTAATCTACCTGGAATGACCCTCTTTCCTTCCCATAACAAACTACTACCCATACCCGGTTCTAGATTAAAAGTTCCCTTCTCTTCTATAGCTTTTTCTGACTCTTTGAGCAAACTC